GTTCCTGATGTTAATAGATCACCATTTGGTTTAGTTTGTATTTTATTTTGCATTGTATCACCCGGTTGCTTCAGGGCGTGTTGTTCATGATGTTAATAGATTACCATTTGGTTTAGTTTGTATTTTATAATGCATTGTATCACCCTGTTGCTTCAGGGCGTGTTGTTCCAGATGGTGCTTATTTCTGTTTGCCTATCCACTAACCTCATTCTACGGTTTCCTTGTGCGGTGTGTCGCACCCACTACTAAACAACTAAACCACTACATTATTCAAACACTACATTACTGAACCACGACGCTACTACACTACTATATGACTACACCACTACACCACTAAACCACTACACCAATACATTGCTAAGCCACTGCACCACAAGTGTTATCTATTCCAATGCATATTGCCACTACTACCCTCATCCGTGTACCATCTCTCCGTTGCGGGGGGTCCGGCAGTGAAACAGTACGACGAATCAAGGGACCAAGGACGCAAGTGCTCCGTCACCATACCTCTGTTTGAGGGTGTGCAAGACTCGAATCCTTGGGAGACGTATCAACCCAATCAGGTATGTCTACTGCCCTGTACGCTGCGAAGTGGCGGTTCTATACACGGTCAAGTGGTGGTTGTGTACACAGTTTTATCAGAGCCGTGTATACTCGCGTCACTGCATGTTCTCTGTATGTGTGTGCATGACCTCTCACTGCATGTCCTATGTATATACGTCCATGGCATCCCACCATGACTATCTTCCACCTACATCTATCGACCCCTGTATCTCTCTATGTCCCCTCTCTAGTCTACGCACAGATACTACCCTCTTACCCTATATACACTGTACACTACACGGTCCCCTCGATGGACACCTGTTGTATCTAGCATATACACCTGTTGTATCCAGCATATACACCTGTTGTATCTAGCATATACACCTGTTGTATCTAGCATATACACCTGTTGTATCTAGCATATAAGCCGGTTGTATCTAGCATATACGCCTGTTGTATCTAGCATATACACCTGTTGTATCTAGCATATACATCGGTTGTATCTAGCATATACACATCGCCTGTCATGTACATGTCAGGTTGAATGGATGCAACGAGATTGTGAACAGATGGCTGCGTCACTCGGCACGGGTCTCGTACATTAGTTGTTTTAGCTGGTATATGAATACCTTCCTGTCCAATACAGCATGCAATGGCCGCGTCGTATCACTTGTGCTTTTGTGCACACATTTGTGTTGCGTACATTAGCTGTATCGTGCTGTATGTGCATGATTTGATACACACTTTTGTACTGTGTGTGCATGATTCAATACACACTTTTTTACTGTGTGTGCATGATTTAATACACACTTTTGTACTGTGTGTGCATGATTTAATACACACTTTGTGCTGTGTGTGCATGCTGTTATATATACATATGTGTTGTGTACACTGCTTGAATTGTGCTGTGTACGTGCCTTTGCGGTTCATTTTCTCCAGAAGCTAGCTTACTAATCCATCCCCTTCTTCTCCCGCCTTTACTAATGCCTTGAACACTCCAGGCAGCCCATACGCGAACACTGCTGGTAGATAGCACTCACAAGTACAACCACATGACTCCGCTGAGGTACTGTCAGTCGTTCGCATATGCATTGCATAGAGCGTTGATGTCTATCCATCCACGTGTACATATACAATACAGACAAACTGCGACTGATTTCTGCGTTGCTCCGACCACTTCTGCGGGTTTCGTAGTTTGAGTATGCGCGAGGCAGTCTGTTAAGTGTAGTGACCGTTGGGGGTTATCAGCTCACGCATATACGTGTGTAATAGGCAAGCGTAGACGCAGCAAAGCTTAGTACACGTTCATATTCTGTGCAGTGGTCGTTGTACACCACATATCGCTCACCGTTCGTTCATATTCTACTGCGGGGTTGTCTACCTGTGTGTCTGTTATTCTTTGCTGTGTTTTATGATTGGATTCGTCTTCCAGTCTGTGGATTTCATTGGCCGCTGGTCGTCAAGTAGGAACGTCTTCAAGTAGGTATATAACCTGATATACACACTCTGTGCATACATTACACCGGTGTTACAAAGGTCCTCCTTCCCCTGGACTGATGCACCCCCTCCGCCCGTGAGTGTGTTCCGGCGGCTGTGCAAACGGTACTCGTTGCAAATAGGCCTGGCTGAGGTGGTGTCGCTGCGTGTTAAGGAAGGCTATGTGATCACCAACATCACCAAGGCCTCAGAGACCTCACCCAAGACCACGCAGAATGCGAGTGATTCGGGGATTGGTAAGTCGGCTTCCATACAGATGTGTGTGTTGGTGTGTCTGGAGCTAAGCGCTTCTCAAGGCTATGCTGCTAGGTTGTGGGAAGGTTAACGACTTTACACATGTCTCCGCCTACGGGTACTATGGTTATAAGCGCGACATGTAGTGCTGTCTGCCAGCTTACTTGTGTGCACCTGACTTGGCTATGATTTGTCTATTGGTTTAAATTAACCATTCTTCATACGAAGCAGGCCCCATCCTCGTGATATATTAAGGGGTGGTATGGAGCACACGGAGGTAGGCATGCTAACTGTTTACATCGCCCCCCCCCCCCTTGTCCTTATAGTTGTATTCACCCTATCTTTTGCCTCCATGCACAAACCCGCCTATAACCCACCCCATTCGTTCACAGACACGGACACCAAGAGCAAGACAGAGCCTCACCCCCCCATCACGGTCGTGTGCTCGTTGGCATGGAAACAGTTCTGCAACATCGAATACCACATCACCGGACAACGGCCGCTGCACACCCACAGCTCGTCACAGATCGACACTCCCACTGCCACAGCCCCCTCCACGGATGGCATATACTCACAGACGAGCTTCAGCTCTCATGCTGGTTCTGAGACGCCCAACACGGGCGCCCATGTACCCACAAGTACAAGCACACCCACAAGCAGAAGCACAGGCACACACACAAGCACACGCACAGGCATAGGTACAGATGCGCATACATCTCCCGATGCGTCTGAGCACTCACGAGAGAGCACGCATGAGGATAGTGTTGGGAACACGCAGGCGCGGGTTTCCAACGATGGTCCCGTGGAAGGATTGGGTAGCGAGGCACAGGCGACGGAGGATAAGGTATGTAAGGAACTATATA